AATCGCGGGGTGGGGGCCCCAGGAACAGAGGTTCTGCGGGTGGGGACGCCGGGGCCAGGTGGGAGCCAGGCGGGGGGCATCGCCCGGCTTCGGGTGAAAAATCGTCAGATGCATGGGGGGGCCCAGGAAGAGAAGTGCTGTGGGCGGGGGCGCCGGGGCCGGGCGGGGGCCAGGCGGGATCCGGTTTGGGGCGAAGAATCGCGGCGCGGGAGGGCCCAAGAACAGAACCTTGGGCGGGGGCGCCGGGGCCAGGCGGGGGGCGTCGGTCGGTTTGGGGCGAGAAATCGCGAGGCGGGGCGCCCCAGAAACAAAGGTTCTGCGGGTGGGGATGCCGGGGCCAGGCGGGGGTCAGGCGGGGGGGGCGTCGGTCTGTTTTGGCAGGAAATTGCGGCGTGGGGGGGCCCAAGAACAAATGGGTGCCGGCGCCGGGCGGGGGCCAGGCAGGGGGCGTCGTCCGGTTTTGGACGAAAAATCGCTGGGTGGGGGGCCCCAAGACAAGAGGTTCCGCGGGCGGGGGCGCCAGGGCCAGGCGGGGCGAAGAATCGCAGGGCGGGGGGCCCAAGAGCAGATGTTCTGCGGGCGGGGGTGCCGGGGCCAGACGGGGACCAGGCGGGGGCCAGGCGGGGGGCGTCGTTCGGGCTTGGGCGAAAAATCATTGGGCCCCAAGAGCAGATGTTCTGCGGGTCGAGGCCAGGAGGGAGGGGCCAGGCGGGGGGGCGCCGGTCGGTTGCGGGCGAGAGATCGCGGGGTGGGGAGCCCCAAGAACACAGGTTCTGCGGGTGGGGATGCGGGGGCCAAGCGGGAGCCAGGCGGGGGAATCGGTCGGATCTGGGCGCGAAAAATCGCGGGGTGGGGGGCCCCAAGAACAGAGTTTCTGCGGGCGGGGGCGCCGGGGCTGGGCGGCGGCCAGGCGGGGGGCATCGTCCCGTTTTGGGCCCGAAAAATCGCAGGGCGGGGGGCCCAAGAACAGAGGTTCCGCGGGGGGGGGGCGCCGGGGCCAGGCGGGGGCCAAATGGCGGGTACTGGTCGGTTTTGGGCGAGACATCGTAGGGGGGGGTCCAAGAGCAAAGGTTCTGCGGCTGAGGACGCTGGGGCCTGGCGGGGGCCAGGCGGCGGGCATTGGTTGGTTTTGGGCGCGAAATCGCGGAGAAGCGCCATCTCATACGCCTCTGGGGTCGGCGGATTTCCTGTTCACCCCGGCACGGGCTCAAGCAGCACGCCACTGTCTCGACCCGAAGGTATACGAACAGCGACAAGAAAGATCAGAAGCAGCTTAGACAGCGAGCCAGCTGCCGCCACATATGAACACAGGGACACTTACGGCGACGACCTGGACTACGACCCGGATAAGGTGAGCTAGGAATTCGAAGCGGACGTAGCAGACGAGTCTGAAGGAAGCCCAGCTACAGGCGATGGCCACAACGCCAAGACGGTTGACGACGAAACATCCAGCGCCACGGACGACAGACCCCCGCTGCCGAGGAAGCAAGATCCGCCACACCGGGCCCCTCCGGAAGGGCACGTGCGAGGCTGGGAACAGATCAGCAAACGAGGACAACGAGACGGTCCAAGTCAGCACAACGCTGACGACTGGACTGGTTCCTCGCGCGGATACAGGGACCAGCGGAGTTGCGACAGGTCCTCAGACCGCCGGGCCACGCATTCTCGCGACGACGCCTGGCGTCACCAGGAAACGACGGGATATTAAATCATGGCATATGGGTACCCTTCTCCAAGAAGCCACTGTCCATCTACGAGCCCAAGAAAAACGACGGGCCCAAGATGCACAGGGCACCACTACGCACGATCGACCCACAACACTCCCGTGAGTCCGACAGCGCTTTTATCCTCAGGACGCAGAAAGAGCTAGCTTTCATCCTCAGGATGCAGAAAGAGCTAGGCAGCATGTTCAGCGACCTGCGGCGCGCACACTGCGCCAAAACTTGCCACGCGAACGCCCGGCCGACCTTTGACCCAGCACTGCAGCCGCCAAGCGCGCGCCGGGTTTTCCCCAGCGCCTGGGGGGCTGCAAACTACGACGCGCGCCGCGCCGACCACGTCCTGCGCGCCATGCTTACGCAGCCCAGCTGACAGGCTCACGGCTATCAAGAACGCCTCCAGCTCAGGCGCCGGCGGCCGGCAGCAGCGGGGCCGCCGCACCCGGGCCCCGCGCAGCGGGAGAGCACCCGAGCAAGGGGAAGGGCAAGACGAAGGACGGACCCGATTCACTGGGCAAGGCTGGGAATGGGAATCGAGTAACCGAGAGCCCATGGAGTTCATGGCACGAGAAATGGCATCGTCAGTAATATTGGGCGTGGGGCATCACCTTGTTTCGACGAGATACGGCTCTGTCATCGCACCGGGTGCGCGGTGCGCCATGCGACTACACTGCTAACTCGCTCTCGTGTGCTTGCGGCGGTTGGCCACGTTCCCCTGCTATCCCGCCCCTTCTGCCTCCTTCGCAGTCGCTGCGGCTCAATGCCGGCATCCGACTGGCAGCCCACCGCGATTGCCCCTGCCGAGCGCCCCATTTAAGAGCGCCCGGAGTCCTTCATCGACTGCGCCTCCCTGGGGGCCCTTGCAGTAATTAGTGCGCGGCTAAACAAAAGCATGCATTGCCTACACCCGCCGGCGCATATGGAACGATGTGCTAGCTCAATGGAGGACTTGTCCATCCGTGACTGCACGCTATTTCGTGGCCGAAAGAGCCCAGCTTTTCCAAGGATTTCGCCTGGGGAGCAATGGCGAACGGGTGCCAGCGGCGGTTTTACTAAGGTAAGCTTCGATACCGAGCGCCTGGCGTGCGCGTCAGTGCACACAGGGTTATGGTGAGCTCTCCACCTTCTCCTCCTTTTGCTTCAGCGGTTAGCTGACTCTCCCTCTCCTGCGTCACTGGGATCATGTATTACACCGGGACTGGGTGGCGCGGTGCCTACTGGCTGCCTTCAGCTGGCGCCCCCCCCGCCCCCCCTGCTGATGGCCGAAAGGGTTCAGTGGGTTCCGATGCTCGTGTCTACTGCTTCCTATTGCCGCAGTAGCTGCCGCAACGGGTTGCCTACCGTGCCTGGCGTGCACTTCCCCTCCTCTCCTTCGCCTCACCGGGTTTATCCCACGCGGCTGGGGTCGCCGCCAATACTGCTGTCCGATGATGCGCTGACAGCCTGAATTCCATGCAAGGTTCACACTGGGAACGGACGGTCAGGTGGCCCCTGACCTGCTCCTGTCTGGTGTCGGCCCCCACTGGTGACCGGGAGGGTTTCGTGAGGTCTCGCTTCGAATTCCATGCATGACCACACCGGGGATGGGCGGCCAGGCGGCCCCTGGCCTGCTCCTGCTTGGTGTCAGCCTCCACTGGTGACCGTTTGGGTTCCGTGGGGTCTCGCTACTGTGCCGCCCTCTTCGGTGCAAGGATTTCGGCATGTGTGGCTCTGGGCGCCCGTCGGCTGCTTTCTCCTATATGGACTTAGCTTTCGACCTGTGCCACCGGGTGTACATACCAGAGGATCTGCCGTTTGCAGTCCTATATGTGACGAGGCAGTCCCCTCTTCACTCCGGCGCCGACGCGATGCTGTTGTTTCACCTACGGCATGGATGTCGCCCTGCAGTGCCTGTCGGACCTGCTCGTTGTCGTCGGGCCCTATGCCGACTCACACCAGGTGGTCGACCTCTGCGTGTTCATGGTCGCGCCGCCGCGCCATTTGGCTGCGCCTATTTGATGGTCGCCACCGGGATTTCCACGCCACCGGGTTGGGAGTGCCGCTCCTGGTACTCCTTCTGAATGGTTGCCCGCGCGCTCGCTTCGCTTGCCCCCCTCTCTTTTCTTGCTGCCTAGTCGCGGCCCGGCTAGGGAACGGACGGCTTCCGACTTGCTTCGCGAGCCCGCAGACCGAAAAAGAATCCCCACCAGCCCATCCAGAATCGATGCCCATGAGAGTTGACGGGGGGAGAGAGGAAGAGACACGAATAGTCAAACGGCGAGGAAGGCTTGGGAGACTCCGTGGCCATCTCGAGCCGTCTTGGAGCGGTCTTGGGGCCGCTCGGAGCAGCTTGGGAGCCATCTTGAGCCAACTTGGGCTATCTGAGCCATCATGGAAGTCATCTTGGGCTCTCTGAGGCCGCTCGGGGGCCTCTTGGGTGCATGTCGGGTGCCCCTTGGAGCCCTCTTGGGGCGCTCTTGACAGGGTTGGTTTCCACGGCGGGTGAACTAAAAGTGCCCACACGTGTCTCGCCAAGACCTTGACTTATTAAAGTACGTCGGACCAACAAGTATACCCCCCTCCCCGAATTCAAAATTGACGGCTTCAGGCGGTTGGCAACGGGCCAGGGACAAAATGTGGGCATTTCAATGTTGGGTTTGGGGGGGATGGGTGCGAAGCAAGGGCATTTCGCAGCTGTGGTTGTTATCATGTTGTATCGCCTTCGCGTCATGGGTGTGGGCCCTTATTGTCCGGGCACCGAAGAGAAGGTGGAGGAGGAGGAGGAGGAGAAGCTCCTTTTCTGGGCCTCCTGGAAGTTTCTCGCCGCCACGGCTGGATCCGCCGTGAAGAAAGTGTCACGATGTACCCTGGGAGGGGCCCAGGGACCGATTTCGAGCGCATTTGGGCAGGGGGCCTCTCATCGCCATGGTCGGTCTCGTCTCGGAAAATCGCTCATCACATGGTTGGGGAAAGGGCGCTGGCGCCGAATTCCGAACGACTCTTGGCGGCGGAGGAGGCGGGTCAAGTCGGTTCGGGTGCTTGGCCGAGCTACGCATGGGCAACAGATCGAGGTCGAAGGCAGGGTTCAACGTGACAGTGCACAGGTCCACCCTAAGTGAGCCGCGATGTGACTGCGAGCCGATGACGACCATGCCCGCACGCTCACGACCAGCAGGTCAAGGACAGGGATGAGTCGGGAAAAGGCAGGAGACGCTCAGCCAGGAAGCGTCAGGAACAACAGCAGCCAGCAACAAACGATAATACGCACAGGTAGATTCCGGCCAAGAAGGGATCCGTTGTATTGGATGCGGCACGGGCGTTGAAGCGAGGATGTGATTGCGGTCAGGCGCGATGCACAGATCTAGGAGCAGTGCCTGAAAGAAACAGTTCCGTCTTGGCTCAAGCCGTGTCAGAGCAGAATATTTGGTCTCAAGCATTGTGGGATTTGTTGTGTCATCAGCGTTCCTGGTCGCGTCGCCGAGTACGAACATGTCCTTAAAGCAGGTGTTGCACCGTCGACGAAATGCTAAAAGTTTAATCGATGTATCGGAAGGTGTGTTTATTCGTGTCCAAGGGCGTTGTGAGATCCATTGTATTGCCAGCTGTTCCACATAATGCCCACTCCAGGCGCAGGGTGATGTTAAAAGACCCCGCTCTGAAACGTGTACCCGAAGCAGCGGAGAGAAGTGTTGAACATTGTTGCACGCAATGTTGTGTCAGACATACACATCAACATGTCATATTCTGACGCTGCTCGTGGCCAGCGAGTTGATGGAGGCCTTCGTGGTGTCGGGCAGACAGAGTATGATTAGTGTTGGGGTAATATACGTATAGAGTGCGAAAGCTCACAAATGCATTGGTGTCGTCGTCGTAGGATGTGGCCTCTCCACTTCGCGAATGTAAAGCTCGCAGGTGACGAAAAGAAGCTTGAGGTATTTGATGTGTTGTTGTCTGTTTTCGACATCCCTCGGGGCATCTACATCTACGAGGACCACCTCGTGTTCTGTGTTTCGACTTGTGGCAGAACGACCCATGTTTCTGGGCATCGCATTGTAGTTATGGGGAGATCTGGCCAGGGTTGGAACACTGCACTCAGGATAATAGTTGCCCTCCTTGATGAGCCGAGCAACACGTGTAAGAGCATTGCAGAGGTTTCGTTGCAAGATGCCCGTGTGCAGTCAACAGAGGCACACCATACGAGTAGCAGTACGTTGAAAGTATTCGAATGCGTGCCCCTAGCATGAATGAGCCATACATCCCGTGGAGTTGTTCTGCAAACAATTGCTTGACTGATCGAACACTTAATACATCCAGGTGGAAGCATTGGTGAGCCCGACATTGGAATCTGCATCAACGGGCGGAAGCGCAGATTATGGACCGCGTTGTGCGATTGAATCCGCGACGGGGTGCGAGTAGAGTTCAAGCCAGGCCTGCTGATATGGGAGAAATCCAACGCCCGATGGAAGGTGCATTTCAATAACATCACGTGGGAATGCAACGCGGTCGATGAACTTGTTCTTGTTTGTACACCCCCAGCGGCATTTACGTGTACCGCCATGACCACGCGCTTGATGTCACAAAGGTGGGTGCTTTCAGTTTTTCTGGCCAGGCTGTCAGCACCGGAGGACCTCGCAATGAGCATTGCTGGCGCAATGGACTTGGTACCTTTTTGAAGAGGCTGGACTCGGACCAGCGCCGAGCTTACATATATTGGGACCGAGACTTCGATTGCGACTCACTATTGCAGTCTGGCGCAGTTGATGAGTAGTACGGTGTTGTTTTGATCAAAGGCGATGTTTGTCGGGCGCCAGGGTATCCGTCAGCTGACGGAAAAAAAGCAGAGGCCAGAAATCGGACTCCCCCAGCGGAACATCTAGCTAATGCTCATCTTGTACGCGGTTGTTCCCCTGGGATGCAGGTTATTGGTCGCCACGTTTAGGTCCGAACAGACTGGTCTGTTCTGGGGGCAGAACTAGCAGTTCTTTCGAGAACCGCGCGCGCGCGCAAGTAGGCCGACGAGACAGCGAGACCCCCTCGGCCGCACTGGCCGGACCGTCTTGCTCGTCGGAGGTGAGCCCCGGCCAGCCGACAGAGACCAATCACATGGCGGAGGAGGAGGAGGAGGGAGAGGAGGGGAGGCAGGTAGGGAGGGGAGGGGAAGGAGGGCAGGGGAGGGAGGCGAGGGAGGCAGGGAGGGAGGGGAGGGAGGCAGGGAGGGGAGGGGAGGGAGGAGGAGGAAGGGGAGGGAGGCAGGGAGGGGAGGGGAGGGAGGCAGGCCCTCCGGCTCCACCAGCAGACCAGCCACCCGCACGGCCACCAGCGACCACCGCCAGCAGACCACCTCCGGCCCCGCCAGCTGACTGGCCACCAGCAGACCCACCACCCAGCACGACCATCACCTGCACGGCCGCCCGGCAGCACGACCACCGCCAGCACGGCCGCCACTACGACCACCCAGCACGACCCCCACGACCATCCCCGCCCCCCGTACCCCGTCCCCCTCCCGCCCCCGGCCTTCCCCTGCCCTCTCCTGCCTCCCCTTCCCCGCCGGGCCGCCCCTGCTGCAGCCCGTTCCTCCTCCTCCTCCTCCTCCTCCTCCTCCTCCTCCTCCTCCTGCTCCTGCTCTTGTGTCGTGTCGGCTTTGTAGTCCCCGCCCTAGGTGTAATTCATGCTGGTTAATTCAAAGCCCCCCCCCTGTGTCCCCACGGGTCCCCTTGGCGAAGGGGCAGGGGGGCCAACTCTGGCGCCCGTGGGTCTTTCCGGGAGGGAGGGAGGGAGGGAGGGGAGGGGGAGGGAGGGAGAGGAGGGAGGAGGGAGGGAGGGAGGAGGAGGAGGAGGAGGAGGAGGAGGAGGAGGAGGAGGAGGAGGAGGAGGGGGACGAGGAGGAGGAGGAGGCATGGCGAAGCCAGGCCAGCAGAGAGCAGGCGCCAGGTCCGGGATCTGGTGGAGTCCCTGCTTCAGCCCACCTAACCCCAAGGCTTCAACCCGCCGTAAGCTTGCCCCTGTTCAGGAGAGGGAAAAACACACAGACACAATGAATCGTCGATTATCAGGAAAATATGCGAAAATGTGGGAAGTGAGGCGGGGGACAAAACCCCACAAGATATAGGTTATTTGTGTGTATTTATGTGTGTGTGTGTGTGTGTGTGTGTCCCAGGGCCCCTTCACTTCTGCGTTAAGTCAGAGCAGCGTTGCGCTGCATCGACAATCCTCGGTGCTGCGCTCCTTCACTTGCTCTCCTCCACCGCGGGGCCATGCCCCGGGATGGGTCCACAATGGGGAGGGATGGAAGTGACGCATTAGCATTATCAGAAATGGTGCACACACCTTTTCGTGTTTGTCCATGTAAAGTGCGATGATGCGTCATCCTTCTTATGATTCGCCATCCGGCGACGTCCATGGCACATGTTTCGTGTGTTGCGCAGTCTTCGATTGTTGCTCTACCAGCTTACACCTTCATGCGTTCAAACAGAAACGTGAGCAGCTCCCATACAAGTTTATGCTTCGTAGTTTTAGGATTCCCCAGATTGATAGGGTTCGTGACAAAATTATGCTGACTCCGCTTGAATTTGGCAGTTTGCATTATTCTAGATCATGCGGTCTGCATTGTGGACTATTAGTACCACTGAACGCTTCGCTAGTGAGAAGAAGGTGGAGGAGGGTTGGGGTTCCGTAGCTCCATGCTGGGAGGGTAATTTTGCAAGGCATTACCGTATATGCAGTGCTCCGATTGCATGCGTCCAGGTGCAAGCGTATGTACCTTTCGTTTGTTTTGTCTTCCTGTATGTTGCTCTTGATTGCCATCGTGCATATCAGGAGTTGTCGATAATGTAATTCGCTCTTTGCGATTACATTGTAAAGCCCAGATGCGAAACGCTCACTCTTTTGAATCACTCATCAGCAGTTCCCTCATGTGCAACGCCCAGGGCAAAATGCGGCACGCGTTAGGTATGACTAGCGGTAGTGCGGCCGACTCGCATTGAGACGAGGACGATAGATGTTCTCGAGGGCCGACGGTGGACAACCGCGACAACGACGACGAAGACGACGACGACGACGCTGGCCGCGGCGACAGCGACGACAACGCCGTCACCAAGGACCGACGATGACAACGAATGCCGTCGCATCCCAACGCATCACTCTCCGCCCGAGCGCAGGTGGGCGCCCTCGCGCGGAAGCTCTGCCGCGCCAGCCCGGTCCACGTGCGCGTGGGCATCTCGGCCAAAGGGACGGGGCCGCAGCTAAACAGGAGCGAGTTGCACGCTTTAGCATCGAAACTTCGGGGGAGAACTGGTCAGCCCTGTAAACAGCCGCGCCACGTTCTCTTGTGTCCGACGGCAGGTACGGACGAGGAGCCGACGCGGTTTCGACGTCGATTCGACACGGATTCGGCGCGATATGGGGTGGCGTAGGCGAAAGGAGACGCCCCAAGGCGGCTTGCAGCAGCGAGTTCTGGACGCGGGCATCCGCTCGGCACAAAGAAAAACGGTTCTTGAGGGAAAATTGGGCCTTGCACCTCGGAGCTCTCCGTCTGGACCAGATTTTCGTCTCGAGTCGTTCTTCGACGGTCCTGGAGCCCGGGGAGAGCCCTGAGAGGCCAAACGTTGATTTGAAAAAGAGTACCCGTGTCTTCCAGCACCCCATTCTTCCATGGCGATCGAGGAGCTTCGGACATGAAGCAGACGTCCTGAGAGTTTTGCCCCCTTAACGGGCCCAGGGCCGTCCACGGGCTTTGGGACCGTCAAAAGACGATTCGGGGAAAGCTCGTGGGGCCCAGGACACCCGTTTACACATGCACCCCGAAATTGAGAGCCAGGCTTGAGCCTATGGGAACTCGGAGCGTGCCCCAAAACAGGTATATCAATTCACTCTTCTCCTGGGGGGCAGGCGGGGGTAGAGCGACAACCCTAAACAATACAGTGACAAAGACCGAATACCCGACACAGCAGCAGCAAGCGAGAGCGCAGGCTGCGAACAGGCTCGAGAGGAGGGGGCACCCTCCGAAAGGTTTTGTCACACAGCCGCGGCGGCCCACAGCGGGCCCGAGAGTGAAGAGCGACACGAGGCACCTGACCGTACCGTGGACTCTGCCTCGGGCCCCGAGAGCTAGGGCTGTACCCCCAGTCCCGTCATGAACAGACTGGCACACGTGCCTCATTCACTTCCAGCCCCACGCAGCCAGAAGCCGGCACACAATCGGGAGGGGGGGTTATGGGAGATGATTGGTGTCGCTCAATACCCTTTTGAAAAATTTGCCTTGTTCTATAACCCCCAGCATATTTCAACTGCAAGGAGGACAAGTGGAGGACAAGGGCGCCGCGCCCAACTCCCGAGTGCTCCAGCTATACTAAAAGATTTCACGGGCGAAAAGAGCCAGCAGAGCAGCAAGCCGAAAAATCGAGGCTCACCGCCTTCTAGCCTTGCTCCTGCCAGCGGTGGAGGCACGGCTGGAGGGCTCCGACGCCCCGCTCGCCATGCTGTCCAAAGGCAGCAGCTCCACGTGCTCGCCCTTGGCCGTCTCGAGCTCCTTCAGCAAGTCCTGGGGCGAGAGGGGACAGCACCGCGTCCGAGCGGCAGATGGCCTCCGACAGCATCTCTGCCGGCCTGCGCCAGAAGGCCCGCCCGCGCTCCAGCTGCGCAGAGGTGAGCCTGCTCCTCTGCTCGATCAGCACGTGCACCTTTGCGTAGCGCTGGAGGGCTGAGGTGGTCTGCCAACGGCCCTTGCGGCGGGCCGCCTCCAAGGACCCTCCCGCTGCGCCCGCATGCCTCAGCGAGTGCGGCGGCCCGAAGTCCGGCAGCCCAGCCCTGCCAAAAGCTTGACGCCAGGCCCTCCTGTATCTGTCCTGCGAGATGGGGAAGAGGAGGTCGAGCGGCGCGGCGCCTTTGCCCACGGCGCGTAGCACGGCCTTGGTCACCTGCCACGTGATCACGACGCCTTGGTTGGCCCCCGTCTTGACCTTCTCGCCCCTCTCCCTGCGGCCCAGCGTGAGCCCCACCTCGCCGTCCGCGCCCTCCGCCACGTCGGCCTTACGGAGAAGGCCCCAGTCCTGCTCCCTCAGCCAGCCGTCCAACTGCAGCACCACCGCGGACCCCTCGTGCAACTGTCCGTGCTCGAAGAGGTCGTAGATCACGGCGCCCACGGCCTCGAACGGCACCGGCGCCCCTTCTTTCTGGAAGCCCATCCTGGACCACGACTTCAGTGCCCTCGCCGCCACGGGCAGTCGATTGCGGTGATCCTCGAAGATGTGCATGAACCCGTTGAACAGCGCTGACGCCCTGCTGAAAGGCAGCTGCATCACGTAGCACATGTCCGAGATGTAGCTCGCCAGGGCCTCGTCCCGCTGCTCGTAGGTAGCGAAGGGGAGGCCGTGCCGCTTCACGTCCATGAGGAAGACCCTCACCTCCTTCTCGTAGAGCTGATTCGTGGTATCATCCACGGCGTGCACCACCAGCCTCACATTGTGGCGCAGCCTGTCGCGCAACGCCTGCACCCACGCTTGAGGCCCTCTCTTCGTCAGCGGCGGCGGCCTTGCCGAGGTCGCCGTCGCGGTGTCCCTCTTGTACGGCATCGCGTCACCTCTCCCGAAACAGCTCAGCATCCTCACAAGTGCGACAACCCAGGCTGCGCCAGGCGCGCCCGTTCTTGCAGCCTTCGAAGTAGCTCCTTCGGCACCCTTCGGCCAATGTGAACGGCCTTCGTGTCGTCCGCCGCGCCGATGCCCAGCCCCCTCGAGGGCCCGTCCGCCAGGTTGAGCTCGCTGGGGACCCACCTGAAGTACCCGCGGATCCTGCAGACCATCTGGATGATGCCTCCGATCCTCGCCAAGTGCAGCAGGTCCTTCGCCGAGGAGCGTCCCTTCCTCATGACGCCTAGGCTCACCAGCGAGTCGGTGAAAAACAGAATGCGATGGCCCCAACTCTGAGTAGTGCGACTGAGGTGCCTCAGAACCGCCACCACCCTCCTCAGCTCCAGCACGTTGTTGTGCTCCTCGCGCGACCACTTCCCCTGGAACAGGACGTGCCACTTCTTTTCCAGCCAGTGTCCCAGCAGCGGCATCGCGGGACCCGTCGCCTTCACCACTCCCAATGCGGCTCGAGCTCGCG